AACCAAACCATTATATAACTGTAGATACGAAAAGAAACTGGGTTTCGGTTAATCTCCTGAGATAGCATTAGCCTTTTGATAACTATGATTTAGGACCGGTATTGCGTATAGACGCTAACAAACACACATACACACATGAACACACTCGAGCAAAAGTATCAGGACCAGTATGAAAGATAATTAGCCAAACCACCCTTTATCTATCTCGATTTATAATTTTCTTTTCCTTAATTGATAAAGCCGGATATTCTTATTGTCCTAGTGTTAACGTGAGACTTTTACAATAATAATACCCAGCTCTGATCATGTCCATCAAATGATGGATGAAAAATCAGCCCATTTTCACCCGAAACGAGGGAGGAGGTCTCGTGGACTGCGTCAAACGGCTGCAATACAACGGGATTCATCCGTCCTCATCTGGTGAGATATATCTACGAATCTCTTTTTCACGCACTTTCATACGAAATGAAAGTCCCCCCAACAATATTCTATATCTATCTCTATCTACATATTTTCGTCTTTGGCAGATATAGCTGAAAATGTTAGTGAATTGGATTCCATCCATTATTTTTTACTTTACTGCATTACCACTTCCCTTCCGCTTTTGTGTTTTACTTCATCAAGAAGATTTGAACAAAAAATTTTGATTATACAAAAAATCATTTTTCTATTTGAATGTATGTATTAATAGAAAATTTCAGTAGCATAACCCTTTTACATTTGCATACATAGTTTGAGACATCTCAGCCACTGCATGGGTTTAGTAGGCTACACTCAGGATTCAGTAGAGGCGAAAAGCTGCCCCTAATACTTTGCATTGAATTGTAAGTCTTAGAGACTTAAAAAAATTAGAAGCATTGCTGTCGTGACGATTGAGGATGTGATATGCATCTCTTGACATACATACTTTTAATGGGTGAATCATTTGCCAGTCTCCTACCAAAGCCAGGGAGGTGTCAAATGCGAGGTGGGCAAACAGGAGGGGTATCGCATGTATTGCCCGTGGACCAGACAAAGATGCGTCTGGCCGCGATGCTCAGGCTGTGCACAAGTCGAGGCCACCTGGTCGGATCGCTTCTGACAAACCGTAGACGGCATGCTTGGCGACGGGAGAGGCGAGCTGGACAAATTGGCCCGAATAGGCGGCGGTCGAGAGGGCTGGGAGTGAGGCAGATGGGCCTGTCGACGAGATGGGCATCATCGGGCCGACGGGCAACAGTGGCGAGTCGGATGCAGCAGTGGCCTGCAGGGCACTTGTGCAGGGCGCGGGTTGCCTGGGGTCAGAGCTATCGGTCTGAGTGAAGAAGGCCTGTGGGGAGAATGGGCAGGTGGAGGCGACGGGAGTGGCCGAGGCGGGCAGTAAGTACGAGAGGTAGGAGAATGAGGTTGGGTGAGTGGAGTGAAGTGGGGGCGAAAGAGTGCCTGTGTTGTTGGGGCCAGGGGAGGAGGAAAAAGAGGAGGAAGAAGAAGAAGAGGAGGAAGAGGAAGAGGAGGAGGACTCGGTGAGTGGGACTTTCGAGTTCATTCGGAGCTGGTTGGAAAAGTGTGGCATGTCCGAGAGGGGGACGACCCTTTTGGCGGACTCGGCTGTCGACGAGTTGGTGATGGGAGTGATTATGGAAGTAGTGGCGGCGGTGATTGTCAGCGACGTTGGGGTGGCAGTCGAGACGGCCGCCAGTTGGTCAGTTCCCGAACCGAAGCGTGAGTTCGAGCTTGGAGTCAAATAGGCGACAGAAGTGGTACAGTCTGAAGTGGCAGCGGTGGTGACAGTGCTCGTTGACGCGGCGGCGGCGGCTGCAGCAGCGGCGGCAGCAGCAGCCGCTACGGCGACAAGCCGGCCCGGCGAGTAGGTCGTCAAGGCTGCGGGTTGCGAGAGACATGAGTTGAAGGTGATCACGTCCTCGGGATCTGCGGAAAGATGTGGGTAATTGGCGTCGGCGGCTCTTGGCCGGGGACAAAGTGGCGGTGGTGGTTGCGAGGGCTCGGGCTGAGGCGGGCAGAAGCGACCGGTCTGAGGGCCGCCGGGTACTGGCAGAAGCCGGGCTCCGGCAGGGCCGACGTAGACGGATGGACGCGGCTGGGCTCTGGCGTTGGTGGTGGCCTCGAGGCCTGCGCCGGAGCCGGGGCCCCGAGCGCGGACTCGGGCTCGAGTCCCGTTGGTAGGCGTGTCCGATGTCCGCGGTCTGGAGTCGGTGAAGCTGGCGGTCGTCAAAAGGGCGGGAAACTTGGTTGCCAGCGGGGCTGACACCGAGACGGGCAGATGGCCGCCGGGCGGAGGTGGGAGACCGCCCGAGGGCAGGAGGCCGTGCAAGAGCAGAAGCTCCTCGAGGCTCTCGATGTACTCAATTGCATTTCGCAGAATCTCCACTTTCGGCATCCGTTGACTCGCCGTGCTACCGTTGCCACCGCCAGCGCCACTTGCGCCGCCGCTGCCGGCGCTGCCGAAACTGCTACCGACGCCGGTTGTGCTACTGCAGCCGCAGGTACGGCGTTTGAGCGTTTCGAAGGCCTCGTTCACTTTGCGTAGACGACGACGCTCGCGCATTGTGGCCGCCTTTCGACGGTCTATTTGCATCGTCTTCTTCTTGCAAGCTTTGCAGGCCCACAACAGACACTGGCCATGCGAACCAGGCGCAATCACATGCTCCTCCTTGTTGACGGTGTTTGTGTGTGTGGGTCAAGGGTGGAAAACAGAGGATAGGGTGGAAAATGTATTGGGCAGGCTGTCTCGTGGGGGAAAAGTCTGTTAAAATGTCCATCGTGGAAACTGACGACGACAATCCCAAATAACCAAATTTGTGAACAATTACCTATTTGAAAAATGTGTGAAGGAAGCCGTTCGAACTCGTTTAGGGATTTGGTCATCCAGATCCTCTTTCATGGTGGCCATGATACTGACCTAGCCTGCTTTTTTCTTTGGCATCAGACAACTTTTGATTGTTTTCGCCTTAAAAATAGGTTTTAGATAATACCGGTAGATCATATATATGAGATGTATTTAACTTATACCATTTAATAAAAAACGGACCAATAAATGAATTTTCCCACAGCAAGTAAGAGTATGCCCAACGTTTTCTTTAAATTTCATATAGCCTAGCTTCTCAAAAAGGTATTCCCATCCAGGCTGGAGTTAAGTGCAGATTCGACCTCGTCCAGGTCTCATCAGCAACCCCAGCGTGACTCGAACCCAGGAAGTGCGGCGTATTGTTTCGACAAATTAACCAATATGCCATACGTCTTCGAGTATCCTCGGGTCACAGGGAAGAAATCTAGCTAGTGGTGCCGATGTGACCCGGATTAGCTCGAAATGCAATTTACTCGTGCCTGGATGAGAATATTTTTTGGGAAGCAAGGCCATGTTTATTAAATAGGCGTACTCATAGCATCATGGGTTGATTCAACTCTCAGGTCTTCATCACCTTCAATGAAATTGAATGAGTACATCTCAACTTGTGTTAGTATTTAACATAATCTCTTGTTTTATCAGACTCTGTTTACATTTCTTCTTTTCCAAAGTTTTGGGGGGGTAAATATGCTTTATGTAAAAATGGCTTATTGGCTATTCATCACGAAGAAAGTTAACGAGAGCCACCTAATCAGTTGTGGTTGGTAGAAATGTTTGCCACCTATGAGGAATCCAAGAAGCAACTTTCAAATAGGTTTCTGTAAGCTTAAGAACGAACCATTTGCAAGTCACCTGATTTTAACTTTCCCGCAGAAACTGGACATCTGATAATGAACACATGCAAGTCCATGTTTTGATCACAGCCATTTTTAGTTTCAATCGTACTTGGCCATAGAAATGCAAATAATTCCTACTAGCCCTGTAACTTAATTTTTTCCACTAATGGAAACTGGCCCTCCTGTAGTCACCAATACTAATTTAATCCCATTCTCATCACTTTTATTCTTTCTTTCGCTATGTTCATCTTCACTTCTATTTCATTTAATGAAAGCACTTGCGTCGATTTCCCGAACACTCGTAGATATTTCGCCGGCATAGTTATCGGTATCGTCAGTGAGCCCTGCCAGTCTTAGCAGCAAACTACAAATCGCACAAAGATAGAAAGCGAGCAAAAAGGGATGAACTTCATTTGTATATTTAACGAATTGTAATTTGGCGCTGGGTGGTAGAATCACTGAGGCTGCCAAACACAATGCCGGAGAAATATCTAGAAATATACCAAATCCACGTGCTGAAGTTGAAAATTACCATGACTACTATTGTAGGGGGCGCGGGACAGGGTGCGTTCAGCCAGGTCTCTATTTGCCTAAACGAGGTCAAATAATTTATATACCAAAGAGTCGACTGCGACCAGCGTGGCCAACACATCTTAGTCTTCGTGTCTGAATTTTCGACAAGATGCTTTATATATGGACTGAAAAGAGTTAACCCATCTCTGGTGGTTACTGTAGCCTTTTACGAGCCTCTTAAAATATTGTTAAAACAAAGCAGAAACACAGCCATAGGTTGTCTGATGCCGAAGACAAAGAGTATACTACATTAGTATCAAGTCGATGATCCAAGACTAGAAATTATCATGGTTACTATGACAGAGAAGTTCTGACTAGTTATGCTTATCAAGATTACCTTGACAATACGACTAAGTTGGAAAAACGAAGTCAAAGCAATTCAAGATTAGTAGGAGTAATAAATAAAGGAAAACGTCAATGGAAGCGCAGATTCATTGAAACTCTGGTATCTTGTACTGATACTTTTTTTCAACCAGAAATTAACTAGTGAACTTGTTCCTATTACTTGAGCAAATGCCTCACGAGTCCAGTAGCGAAACGTTTCCTACTGCCTTACGGTGTAAATGGACTATACAACTCTAATCGAAGGTATGAAGACCAAGATGGTGTGGCCTTTTGTGTGGTCTCAGTCTCCTTTCGTTGTATAGAGG